CTTCCATCTCTAACTCCTCATGCCTGCAGAGGGAACTTGTAGGAGGGATTCTGAGACCTGCTCTTGCACATGGCCTCCTCTTGGTGATCAGAACCCAGCGTAAGCAGCTGTGTTCGGTAGTGTTGTTAGCAGCCTGTCTTACTTAAATGGTAGGTCTTAAACTTGGTGACTTAAGACTCTGTAAGCAGGATATCGTTTTAAAATGTGTCAAGAACTTTTAGTTCCCATTTCTCAGAGCTTAAGTTCAAATCTTTCAGTCAGCCAGACCCCGTTTCTTAGGACCCGACTCCAGTGGCTTCACCTTCAGCCTCCTTTCTGCACATCTCCTGCTACATCTTTGATATGCTGACCCCAGATGACTTGGGTCCCGAGCTGAGAGCTCACACCCTGTCTGTGGTGTGCTCACTCTCCAGCCTGGGAGACTCTGCTCAAGGGCCACTCCTGAGTGATCTTCAGCCTGCCTCTCTCCTAACCACCTTGCCCACTCCTTGGGCAGAATTGCACCCTGTTCTTGTTCTCATCCCTGTGGGCTGTCATTCTGCTTCTAATGACCAGAAACCTGAACGAGGGCAGAGACACTGCTGATCTCATCTCTGGTGTCTCACAAGCAGCGTGTGCCCAGGAAGTGTTTAAATGGAATTGACTAGAGTTAGGAAATCCCAGTTTCTGGAGGCAGCTTGGGAATAGGCTCAGGAACCTCTGGGTATGTTGTATCCCTTTCTAGGAGGTGCCTTCTGTCCCAACGCTCACACTGACTCAGCCTTATGCCGAGCCTGCGGGCCTCAAGTTTCTGAACAAAGCAGGCCACATTTTGTTGGGAGACACCTGCTTGACTTGTTTTTTTCCCCCATTTTCTCTGTCTCCCTCTGAACTGTGGCATGGAATGTTTTGAAATAGAGTATAATCTGTGGTCTCCAGGCTGTTGGACTTGAGGGGAAGGTAATCAAACTGTCCTGAAGGTGGGCCTCTCTTTAATCACAGTGCATTTCCTAGCCCCCCCTGGGACCCGGGTGACAGCATCGTGTTGGTGGAAGGACTTGGCAGTGGAAGCTCATGTCTTACCCAACCAGCCATGGCCGTGAGCTTGGGCAAGTTACTTAACCTTCCTTTTAGTTTGCCCACCTGTAAAAGCGTGTCCAGAGAGCAGAGACGGCTCACATAGTGAGCCTATGTAAAGGGCACTTTACATAGTGCCTGGAACCCAGTGGCCTCTTAGGTGAATTTACCTCAAATCCTTAACATTTCCAGGGAACACTCCATCTCTCTTTAGCTCTGGGAAGCTAAATCTTTGACTCTTCCTCACCTTACAGAACTGTCAGGCTGTACCAAACAAGGGAATTATAAAATTTAATTTTGTTTCTATCCACTCAAAACGTTGTAAGCTTCATGTGGGGGTTCTGCTCTAGTTGGTACATGTGTATTCCAGTTCTCCATCCTGAAACTGGAGGTAGCCCCAGGCTGGCTTGGCAACCATCGGACCAGCTGTGAGATGGATGGGCACTGATGCTCCCTGGGGCCCCCTGACCTTCACGAGCCCCTACTGACCGGTGGACCCCAGGGATGTGTCTCCAGGAATCCGTGTCCTTGCAGGACCATGGTTTGGTGATCCCTGGAAGTTTGAGCACTTTCCCTTCCCCAGTGTGCAGTCACCATGGTAAATTAGAAGACAAGAGCTGTGGGCAGTCAGAAGAGGGAAGTTACCTGGGAGGTCAGGCAAGCATCAAGTAGGTTGGCATTTGGGCAGGGGGTGAAGGTACACATTCAGATGCACCAGCAGAAATTTGGGGAGAAGGAAGGCTTTCTAGGGAGGGAGCACCTCAAACCCGCCTGGTCTGGCTAGAACATGGGCTTAGCTATTTACGGCCAGAGAAATATGATAAAATCATCCACTTTCATTTTCTGATTTCAACGTCCTGTTTCCTAGCGCTTCACTCCGTGGCCTACAGCACTGGGGTTATTGGGATCGGTGGCTTCCTCGGACTTGACGGAGGCCCAGTGGAGAGGTTATTGATGATCAGGATGTCCTTTCCCCAAAGTATCTGAGGCCCTGCAGAATCTGTTTCTTGTCTGAGACTTAACTCCCAGGAGTATGTGGTGTCGGTGTCCCCCTGAATGGGGTGGAGGCAACAGAGGCTCACAGAGCTTCGGCCATCTTCCCCAACCTTTGCCCAAGGTCCTTCCCGTCGTTTCTGTCTCCCCCATGTTTCCCTTCGAGCTAGGAGCCTACCCAGTTAGCCAGGGCACAGAGTTGTCATCTAACCCCAGACTCAGCACCTTCTCGCCTGGGCATTTCCTGTGACTTCACCCTGGCTGGCTTCTCAACAGAAACGCATCAGGTGCCACGTGTCCTCCATCCTACTGTGAGGTGGGCAGGGGCCCAGGTGGGCAGTCTGCCGGAAGGAAAGGACTGGAATTGTCGCATGCCTCTGCTGTTTGTGAGTGGGCAGCAGGGGATTCTGCGTGAAAACCCATGCTGCGGTTCTGATGAAATGAGCCCACAGCCCTGGCCTGTGCAGGGAAGTGCTTCTTGTCTCTGGGACAAGTGCTGCCTTCCCTGGCTTTCCATTCTGTCATGCTCCCTGATGCCGGGTCGGGTTCTGAGCCCGCTTCTTCCTGTCCAGCACTTTGCTCTCAACAGACAGCCCCCTCCTGTAGCATCTCCGGAGCTCAGCTCATTCCCCGCCCAGGAGCGAGCTCTTCAGTCCCTGGCACATAACCCCTCTGCCCCCAGGGCACTTGTTTACCCTTCTTTTCTTTCCTTGGGTCCTCATAACCTGGACTTACAATGTAGTCTGTTTTGTAGACTTGTTTTCTTTTTACTTTAGTTGCCCTGGTTACCAGCTTTGTATATAAAGTAATCACCATTCCCCACCCTTTACTTCCCCACTGTTTCAGTGAAAAAGTTATGCTGTTTTCTGATGGTAGCCCTCGTGGAAGGAATTTGATGGCTTTTTAAACACTTCCTTTCTGGCTGTACCACCAGCAGACCTTTCTTGCCCTCCTTTTTACGGGTCTTTACTCTGGCGTTGGGATGGATTTGGGCTTTAGATCACCGCATCATTTCGCAGTGTTTTTAGATAAAGAGCCTCAGCCCACCAGAGCCAGTGACCTAGAAAGAGGATTATGAGATGGGAAAGAGCTAATTTTAAAAAGAAAACGCCCCATCTGCCCTAAACAGGTTCTACCTGTGTTGCTTTGATTGTGAGTAATATAAACAAACAAATTATATAATTACAGGGGAAGTGAGGTCTGTCTGATCATGGTCAAAAACCCAGAGCTTTTGCCTTGTCCATCTCTCTTCATCCTGCCTCAGCCTAGAACTCCCAAAGCACTGACTTTTGTAGACTCGGCTTTGGCAGAGGCTATGTAAAGAGATGTAGCTCTTGTTTTCCTGGTGGAATGGAGACCCCGTACTAGGGATGAGAGGGCTGGTCTTCACGCTCAGTCTTTGGACTGATCCATATGAACCACCCATGGCAGGCCCCGCCTTTTCATCAGCAAGATAAGACTTCTGCCTATTTAGGCTTTGGGGGCAGTTATAGTCCTCAAATAACTTCCACAGAAGGACTCCGTGTGCCATTAATTGCTTTATAAAGGACATTGGGAGTTGTTTGGAGATGCCAATCACCAGCTCTCCTGGAGTTTCTGTGGTTCAACAAAAGGAAAGACTTTTTTTTTTTTTTAAGATTTTATTTATTCATTTGTGAGAGGGAATGAGATAGAGACTATGAGAGGGCGGAGGGTCAGAGGGAGAAGCAGACTCCCTGCTGAGCAGGGAGCCCGATGAGGGACTCGATCCTGGGACTCCAGGATCTTGACCTGAGCCGAACCCAGGCGCCCCAAAAGGAAAGACTTCTTGAAAGGCAGAGCTGGAGTGTCAAGCCAGCACAACTTGATTCTAACTTATGTGTGCTTTGGACCCCTGTTCCCACCAGACTTCCTTCCTGTTTATACCTCTCCCATGTTCCATTATCCATCCCATCTCTCAGCCTAGAATTCTCTTCTTGCTTCTCCCCACTGATCTACTGCCTGTCCTGTAGGTGGAACCCAGGTCTTGCGCCATCTGACTACCAGATCTGGCAACTCCTACCCACCCGTCACTGCTCGTAGTAAAAGTTGACCTTGATGCAGATACTTAAGATGCTTGCTGGCTTATATACTTACCTGTTATCTCCTTGAAACTAAGCTATGTAGAGAGGAGGGGCCTGTTACAGACCTAACTTGTGCTAGGCAGATACGGTGGGTGAGCAGGAAACACTGGAATATGCCTCTAAAATAAAACTGTAGTGCCGTTCTAGGTGCATCCACAAGAGTCCTGCAAGTTAGGAGAGAGGGGAGGGGAGGTCCTTTGCCTGGTAAGAATTAACAGACATTTTTATGGCCTTCTTGCACCCTTACCCTTGTCTCATCGGCAGCCCTGCGAACCATGGGGGGGCGCGGGTGATGCTGGTCCAAAGGCGTTAGGATGAAACTGGCTTCCCAGTCACATAGATTGGAGTCCCTGGACTCTTAAGTCTCTGGGAGCCTCAGGTTCTTCATCTTTTAAGATGAGGCTATTTCCGTCCTACCCCCTGGGAGTGGGGAGGGTGAATACTAGCTTGAAGGTCAGGCCAGTGTAGGTGTTCTGTAAGTGACTTGTGGCCGTGTACAGGTGAGCCAGCAGAAGCAGAGACTTGGAAAGGTGAACTAAGTGCAGTTGCCTCCTGGTTATTCATTGAACCGGTCAGCAGGCACCGGGTAATTCCACAGCCAGGTGCTTGACCCCAGTGTCCGCAGCCTGTGTCATTCCTTAGCTTGTTAGCCCTTGACTCATTCCATGTGAGTAGAGCTGGGCCTGCTTGGTGCAGTGTTGGCTCCGTGCAGGGTTTGCTGGTCCTCTTGGATGGGAACCTGGTCACCACTGTCCCATCGTAAGTCCGCTGTGCTGCATGCGTGTCGTCTGAGAGTGGTGTGGATGTGTCCATGGCACTCAAGCTCTTTCCGGTCTTCCTTCGATTTAGGAGAAAGGATCCTGGGTTATGCCGAGGAGCCCTGCTATCTCTGGTTTGTCATGGAGTTCTGTGAAGGTGGAGACCTGAATCAGTACGTCCTGTCCCGGAGGCCGGACCCAGCCACCAACAAAAGCTTCATGCTACAGCTCACGAGCGCCATTGCCTTCCTGCACAAAAACCACATCGTGCACAGGGACCTAAAGCCAGACAACATCCTCATCACCGAGCGGTCTGGCACCCCCATCCTCAAGGTGGCAGACTTTGGACTAAGCAAGGTCTGTGCGGGGTTAGCCCCCCGAGGAAAAGAGGGCCATCAAGACAACAAAAATGTGAATGTGAATAAGTACTGGCTGTCCTCAGCCTGCGGCTCAGACTTCTACATGGCCCCCGAAGTCTGGGAGGGACACTACACAGCCAAGGCCGACATCTTTGCTCTGGGCATTATCATCTGGGCAATGATAGAAAGAATCACTTTTATTGACTCTGAGACCAAGAAGGAGCTCCTGGGGACCTATATCAAACAGGGGACCGAAATCGTCCCTGTTGGTGAGGCGCTGCTAGAAAACCCAAAGATGGAGTTGCATATCCCCCAGAAACGCAGGACTTCCATGTCTGAGGGGATCAAGCAGCTCTTGAAAGATATGTTAGCTGCTAACCCACAGGACCGGCCTGATGCCTTTGAACTTGAAACCAGAATGGACCAGGTCACATGTGCTGCTTAAAATTCAGGGCAAAGCATCTTGAGTGTTTTTAAACTAGGTGAGTGTACTCTTTTTGTTCTGCATGCACACTTCCCGGACTGGATTCTTCATCTCGGGCCTTACAGCGGGCCCCGTGGAGCTGGGGGGGGATGGAGGGTTGAAGACAACCGAGTGCTTATTGTGAGAGGACCCGCCCGAGTCTTGAGGAGGAGAGCTGTGGGGGGAGGGAGAGCTGAAAAGTCTAGGAAAGTTCTCTGAGTGGACATCGCATTTGAGCAGAGTCTCGTGTGTTTTAGAAATGCTTTTTCTCGTCAATTAATAAATGCTTACTGGAGAAAATGTGCAAAAGAGATACGGACAATTTTTTTCAGAGAATAAACGTTATCCATAATTGTATCCTTCCTATTCACATGTCCAATTCTGCACAGTTGAGATCGTGCTATATTTAGGTACAGTTTTGTTTCCTGCTCTTTGAATACTCATCTGAGCATCTCCCCATGTGATACTTTGGAAGTTTGGTTTTCAATAATTGACGTCCCATTATATGTACAATGTAACCATTCTCCTGTTTTAGATATCTGATGGGTTTCCTTCATCTTAGATAGTGTAGATGGTGCATGAGTGAATGTTCTTATATGGAAGTCTTTGCTTATTTAAGAGATTGATTGTGGGCTTTCATTTGTCAAGTGTTGTGCTAGGCTCTGGGGTAACAGCGGTGATAAAATTCAGAAAATGCCCCCCCCATCCTCATGAATTCTGCAGCTTAGTTGAATTAGGGAGAGAAACATTGATCGTTATTTGTCATAGGTGCTTTACAACAAAGGAGGAATGATATTAAGGGAAATTAGCCTTTTAGGTGATGGTGCCCCGAGGCAGGAGTAGGGAATTGGGGGGAGCACTGCATGTAAAAGGAGTAACCTCTGCAAAGGACCTGAAGCCTAGCACACTTGAGCGCCTCCGCCAGTTTGGGGTAGTGAAGAGAGCAGACCTTTGGTAATCAGACAGTGACCTGTCAGGAGAGTTAGGCAGAGCTGAGGTGGAAAATCCAAAAGTGTGTACCGGGCAGGGCAGTGGTCGTTGAGATGGACCAGAGTCTGAGGTGTGAGCAAGGGACATAAGATCAGAAATAAGGTGAAACGGGGACCCTGGAATTTGACCTTAGGAGGCATTTGGGAGCCACATGCAGACCAGAGCAGAAGGGTGCAGCGTTAGGGACTTCCGGTACATGCGAACGGAGTTGAACCAGAGCCTGGGAGACCAGCTGGACCAATGGTTTTATTCCCACTGCGAGTAAGGAGATGTTGTTGAACCGGAAATTGAGTAGCACCGAGGATGGAGGAGTGCCTGGATCATCGTAAGGGCAGGCAGTTGGCAAGACAGACAGCCAGATGTGGAAGCAGAAGAAAGCAATACATTGGGAGAGATTGATGGCAATAGATAGAAAGGCTGGCTGGTGTATTGGTCAGATTTGGCTTGTTTTCAAATAAGGCAGCCTAGCTTTGTGGGAAGGGATAAGAACATTTGACTCTTCCCATATATGCCAAGTGGGTAGTAACAATTTGTTTCCCCTTTGCCACCCTGCAAGGGGTTAAGTCATTTATCCACTGTCCTTCTAATTTAAGTGCAGGTGTATCTTACTCATGACCCTCCCCCCATCCTACCTTTTTTCTTAATCTGGCAAGCTGGAAATAAGCTATTCCTACATTTGCTAAAGCCTTGAGATGAGGTGATGAGGGATGGTGCTAATCCCAGGGGTCACCCTGGGCCCAGAGCCATCCATCGCCGGGGTGGGTTCTTGGTCCCTTCCTTTCCCCCCATTGCCCTCGGAGTGTTGGTTGCTGTCGGTGAGTGCTGAGCGGAGCCCGGTCACGTCTGTAGTGTTCTCAGTGAACTTACTTCAGGAGTGAGCCACTAGGTTTAATTCTTCCTTCCCAGAAACACCGAGCACTTTGGCAGATGGCAGGCCAGTTTGCCCTGCTGCCCAATGAGTGAGAGTGTTCTCCAGAGCTTGGTTTGGGGTAGTGCCGTGTTAGAGCCCAGAAAGGGTTGGCGAGACCACGTTTTAGTCCTGTTTCATGCCACCACTTCTCGTTTCCAACTCATCCCTTCCACTTTTAAAAAACCTGTTAGAGGGACACCTGAGTGGCACAGTCGGTTAAGCACCTGACTCTTGGTTTCGGCTCAGGTTGTGATCTCTGGGTCATGAGATCGAGATCCGCTCAGGGTGGAGTCTGCCTGAGATTCTCTCCCTCTGCCCCTCCCCCCCCATAAATGTGTGCTTGCGCTCGCTCTCTCAAATCTTAAAAAAAACCTCTTAGAATTCAAGTTTTGTCCTGGGGTAGGATGAAGGTTGTCATTGGGAGAGACCTGAATTTGGGTTAGTATTGTGGGGTTGTCAAAACTAATTGAGATCAGGTCTCCATTTGGACAGCCACTGTTGGGATTTGTGCTGGTTTGCAGGGCAAAGTACTAGCTAAAAGAAGGGTGATTCCTTCAGGTAGGAGAAGTAGGTGACGTTGACAGATGAGGCACATAGCCCTGCTGAGTGTCCCAGGCTCTGACCGCTAGTGACAGTATTTGGTGCCTATTTGATCCGTAGCCTAGCTAGCCTGTCCCAGTGGGGCATTTAGATTTGTGGACCTGGGCCCAGGTCTGTGTAACCAGGAGCTGACCCTTGTAGTGCCAAAAGCTTCAAATCATTTGCGGTGTCAATGAGCTGTGTCTTGCTGGTTAAGGAATCAGAGGCTTGAGTTGGAAAGAGCTATTGTCCAAACTACCCCTGCTTCCCCACTTAAGTTTTATAGACAGAGAAGCTAATTTCACGTAGTCAACGTATTGACAGACTATTTGCCAGGGATTATTTTAGTTACAGAAGATACTTTAGTGGGTAAAATAGACAAAAATTCTTGCAGTTGTGGTGCTTACATCCTGGTGGGGAGATAGACAATAAACACAACATGTTTGAAAATGCTAAGTGCTCAGAAGACAGGGGCGATCAGAATGCTGGGAGGTGGAGGGTGGAGGTGTATTTTTAAATGGAAGAAATCAGGGTGGGTCTCTTGAGACAGTGACCTTTTGAGTAAAGGCTAGGAGTTGAGAGAGTGAGTCATGAGGATTTCTGGAAAAAGAGCATCCCAGACAGAGGGAACAGCCCGTATAAAGGCTTGAAAGCTGGATAGAGAGCTGGGAGGGGAGTGTAGTAAGAAAAGAAGCAAGAAAGGTAACTAGGAGTTAACTAGAGTAGGCCTGTAAGGCCACTGTAAGGATTTGGGGGTTTGGGCCTGGGTAGGATGGAAAGTCCTGAATGCGTGTTCGTTCAGCTGTGGGTTAGCTGATCTTTTGAAAGGATCCTTGTGGCTACTGTGATAAAAGTTAACTCTAGGGGAACAAGGGAGGGGAAAAGATGGGAGGCTACTGTGGCAAGCCAGGTGAGAGAGAATGGTGGCTTTGAACAATGGAGCCCGGGAGGGGGTAGTAGACTTGGGGTGAATTTTGAAGTCAGCCAACCATTTCCTGCTGGATTGAATGTAAGGTATGACAGAAGGGAGTCAAAGAGGACTTGGAGGTTTTGGCCTTGGAAGCCCTTGGAAGGATAGAGTTGCCACCAAGTGAGACGGGAGGGACATGGAGAGGAACGGGTTGGGCTGGAGAAGGTTAGGCTTTGCTGCCATGTGTAAGTTTGCAATGCCTATTTAAAATCCAAGTACAGAGGTGGAGTGGGTAGTTGGGAGTCTGGAGTTCAGGGGAGAGATCTGGTCTAGAGATAGAAATTTAGAGATGGCCAAGGCACCCCCGGGGGGATAGTTCAGAGAACGGGCTCTGGGCCATCTCACAGTGAGGCTGGGGAGAAGGAAAGGAGCCGGCGGCACAGAAGACCTGGGGTGTGGTGTCTTGGAAGCAGGTGAAGACGCGGTGAGAAGGTAATCGGCCGGGGCCCATGTGCTGGCGGGTGGAAGGAGATGGGGACTGAGGATTGACCTTTGGCTTTAGCCAAAGTCATTCGCACTCGGGAGCAATTTTGGTGGCACGTAACGAAGAGAACCCCTCAAACCACAGCAGGTTTGAGAGGGAATGAAAGGGAAGAAAATTGAGACAGTGAGAGTTGACCAGTGATTCTCCAGGTTTTTGGTTTAAAAGTCCATTTATACTTGAGAAATTGTGGACTCTAAAAAGCTTTTGTTTGGGGTTATATCTATGGATACTGGTAATATTAAAAATTAAAACCAAGAAGTGTTTTAAATGTTCTTTTCAAACAAAAATTTAGTGAGTAGAGTGGCATTGTTTTATATTCTTGCAGACCTTTTTACTATCCGCCTTAATAGCTGGGTTCTCCTAATTGCTTCTGATTTTAACCTGGCGCCATGTCACTCAGCAGGTGACCTCTGCAAAACTCCATTGCAAACCTAAGAGAGGATGTGAAAAAGGCACGCATGTCTTAGTGTTACTACGAACAGGGTTGGTTGGCTTCGTGGAGTCCCGCACTCCAGACTACACGTCCAAGAACCAGTGGTATAGGTGACTCTTCCTGAGGAATTTTCTGTGAAGGGGAGCTGCTGAGAAGTAGGGGGCAGCTGGAGACCTAGAAAGAAGGAGTTATTCAAGGTCCCAAATGAAGGGGCAGAACTTGTGTGTCCTTACTCCTTGTCCACGTTCCCATTAGACCTGTTACTGTGGCTCAGACTCCAGCTGCATATAGGAAACACTCTTTGTCCCTAGCGCAGCATAATGCAGAAGGGTCTCTGTAATCTGGGATTGTAGATTTCAGAGTGGTGTTCAAATCAGGGCTCACTGGTTTTAGTTTTTTTGCAACAGTGAACAAATGCACTTTGGGTGGGAAACATGGGATTCCTCTGAAAGGAGTGTTGCCTACTGAACTGTCCAGGACTGAGTGGTTCCATGTTTGGGGCTTACTGGCCATGTGACTTCAGGCAAGTTATTTTACCTCTCTGGGTTTTATCATCCATTAAACGGGGGTAGATCCTGTTTACCTTGAGGTTGTTGGAATCACAGGAGGTTATAAAAGTGCCCTATATGACCTGCCTAAATGAAACGCTAAATTTTATTTTATTTATTTTTTAAGATTTTATTTATTTGACAGAGAGCGACACAGCGAGAGAGGAACACAAGCAGGGGGAGTGGAGAGGGAGAAGCAGGCTTCCCACGGGGCAGGGAGCCAGATGCGGGGCTCGATCCCAGGACCCCGGGATCATGACCTGAGCCGAAGGCAGACGCTTAACGACTGAGCCACCCAGGCGCCCTGAAACGCTAAATTTTAGATACACGCTTTGGCTTGAGGTGAAAGTATTGTCTTCTCTTTGTCTCTGAAGACAGTGGTCTTT